AAAAACATTTTTGTACATACATTTTAAAACATTGATTTGTATATATTATGCATTTTCATACATAATTAAAATTAAACTCTTTTAATTAACATTCTTTTTGTACATAACAATTCAATACATTTTTTCTAATATTAAAAACTCACCAACATTTTGACTAAAAAACTTTTTTAATTAAAACTTAACATTCTAATCAAAACACGTCATTTTTCTTTTGTACATAATAAAACATACGAAAATCAAAATTCATTTAAAAATGTATATCTAAGTCAAACCCTAATGCGACTCAATTTCACATTTCGCACTTGTACATATTTACATTTACACAATGCATATACATTTGCACTTACACAATATATTGCCCTACACACACTTTCTCTTATATTTGTATATTTGATATTCATTTTTGATCGCACATTCGATTTGGTTGTAAATTATTGGGTACTATAAGTCTCATCCCCTTGTACATTTATACCCCCACTCCCGGACATTATTTTGTAATAGCGTAGATTTACATTCCGCAATTTACAGCTTTTCAATTATACCATGGTTAGACCTAGGGTTTGTATGTACATAAAATCAAACGCTAGATAACCTAATACAAGACAAATGCATGTAATCAATACACAATCACACTTGCACCCCCTAGGGTAATCCCACATGTTGCCTTCCAAAATGGGCCATGCTTGCACGTCGAATGTCTTTGGCAAAACAAAATTAAATGATCATAAGTCCCTCAATGACGCTTTCGAAAGTTGCCTAAACGGAATGATCATAGTCCCTTCAAAACAATTTGCCAAAGACACTTGGCATCATTGCATTCATGGTCTATGCGATGACCCGTGCCCGTCCCGAATAAACTTCCTAAACGCAAGATTGCCCATCAATTTCAATGGTGGAACAAAATTGTTAAAAGGGGTTAAAACATGACAAAAACCTTTGAGTACAATAAGGTAGACATAACTCTTAGTTACTTGAGATCAAACTTGCAAAAACACTTGCCTTCTTTTCAAAAACCACAATCCACAAACACTTTCAAACAAACTCTCAAAAACATTTGAAAACATCTTTTCGAAAAGATTCACACTTTTGTAAAACACTCAAACACGAGTCAAATACATTAGTTGCCTAAAACAAGGCATCTTTTTCTAAAACATTTTCAAAAAGCATCCACACATACACCATTTTCAAAACAATCGAAAAACAAGGCAAGTGATCTAAAAAACCAAGTAACTAAGAGCCCATGGATAACCATGGATGAAAAGGGTGCTAATACCTTCCCTTTTCATAATCTACCCCCCGAACCCACGAAATATCTCAAAAGGTTTTTGCTGTGCTTTTTAACCTTTCCTTTAGGATAAAATAAAAAGTCGGTGGCGACTCTTGCTAACCGCACAAGTGCGAATACGAACGCAAAACACTAGTCAGTTCTCCCACCGTATCACACTAGTAATCATATGAAGCTAATGGCATAAGTTAATTGGATTATAATGCACAGAATCACAAGATGCCATGGTTGAATTTTAGGGTTCATGAGCTTTGAAATTGGGGATTCTCAATCCAGGAAAAATTAAGACTCTTAAGGCACATGACTGAATTCGTCAGAACAAGACGAACATAAACCAACCCTCGCGAAACATTTATATACACCACAGTGCTAGTCGCTATTTTTCGTCGCTGCATATTGTGGGGGTTAAAAACCCCCGCTATCTGTTTGTGTTTTTACAAGTACCAGCGAGGAAGATGACTAGGTGTTGATACTCCATTGGCTTATTCAAAACACGCGCGCTATTTTTTCTTTTCCAGCATATGAATCGCTTTTTATATATTATATTTGCTTATTATTATAATAACAAAAGCATGCAGGTGGTGTAGTGGTTGAGCGCTTGTCCAATAAGCATTGGGGCCTGGGTTCGAATCCCAGGTCCCCCCAAAACGCTTATGTTATTTTTCTTTACATGTTCTTGTGCAGATCTCTAAAGGATAAACACCATATACCTCCAAACATCAACGCGCCATGTGGCTTCAAGCATGAATCCAAGGGTCATGAGATAATGACCACCATACGCTCAGTCAACGAACACATAGCTAATCCAGAAAGTCAACATGGCTGGGAAACGAATGGGCCTGAAAATTGCTAACATACCTCCTAATTGGGCCAGCACCCCCCCTGGTTCATTCATTCTTTTTTTCTTTTCTTTTATAATTTCCATTTAATTATTTTATTATTAATTATTATTATTATTATTTTATTAACTCAATTAATTTTTTTTTCATAATAAAATCAGAAAACTAAAATATAATATTTTTATCATTATTATTTATTAATTTCACCCTTTATTATTTTTGTAAATAAATACTAACCAATTAATTTAGTTTTTTTTAATCAGGTTAACTTCAATAGTTTTTGCAATAAATAAAATAAATTAGACTTAGGGTTTTTACTAACTTTTGACTATTTTTTATTTTATTTTCCTTAAAACATTAAAAAACCAAAAAATATCTTTTTCTATTTAATTAATTAATTAGTTTTAGGTTTAATTTAATTTAAATGCAAAATAATGAAAAACTTCTTTCTTTCTCAAAAAAGGGTCAAAACCCTAAGGACTTCTCCGATTCAATTCTTTCTCGCACATGTGATTATTTTTTATTAATTTTTTATCATATTTCTGTAATTGCTCCGAGGATGTAATAACTTTAATTAGGACCCTTTTTATCGCTTTCATTTAATTTCCGCAATTTACTTTTCAAGGGTTTGTTTTTGGCGATGTAAATACCCGACGCCTTGTAATAGTTTAGATTTATTTTCCGCACTATTAACTGTTAGATGTATGTTAATTAGGCTATGCATGACAAGACTTATCTCTGAAAATAAAATCAACCCGTAGCTCACCATAACATGTGCAAAGATAACTTAACTGAATCCTGACACACTCGCACATGCCACTCTTAGGGTACGCCTCACTTGGTTGCCTCGACGTGGTCATTGAGTATATGGTGTTTTAGAGGTCGCCCTCCTGTCTAAAGATCCAAGTTGCCTCGAAGCGGTTGCCTCGGATAAAAAGGATCTAGGACATTAGGGTTACCGCTAAGGCGTCCTACTATTGCTTTGGTGACCACATGTCCCATATAATCGAATTGACCCGAAACTCCAACGACGGTGCTACCTACTTCTCAATAGTGGGATAGTACTGTCTAAAGGACATTTACACAGCTTAATTCCTTTTGAGTAGGTAGAGGTTCTCAGGTACTTGCTCTTTCAAAACAAAACCAACTTTTCGCACTTACACTTTTTCAAACAAAGTTTTCAAACAAACACTTCATACACTCTTGAGGACAGATACAAGAGTTAAATCGAAGTTTTCAAACAAACTTTTTCAAAACCCACAAACACAAGAAAAGCAAAACATTTTGAAAACATAGTGAGCAAGTACCTAAGAGCCCGTGGATAACCACAGATAGAAAGGGTGCTAACACCTTCCCTTTCTATAATCTACCTCCCGAACTGAGAAACATCTCGAAAAGGAATTTTGTCCTGCTTTTGTCCTTTCCTTGTTGGAGAAAATAAAAGACGGTGGTGACTCTTGCTTACCGCGACATTTCACAAACCAGCATTCCAAAACAGTAAGTTCTATTTCCACCGATCACACTTGCCAATATGTTTAATCTCTAATAGAGAAGAAAGAGGATCCTCGTATGCTTCACTGAATTGAGTGGTAACGTCATTGACATATTATTACCATGGCGGAGTAAACATAAAACTTATGGCGCATGTAGTTCAAGTGCCATTGTAGAGCTAATCCATCAAGGTTAATTGAAGTAAGGTGGACTTGCGAAGCTGCCGAAGTTTCCTCTAAGAGAAAGAATTAATCACACTTGTAGAGCCAGTAACAAATGGTTTTACCATTAAATATGGAATTCCACCTTGGAGATTCAGGTAGAGTACACATTTTGATTACCGACAGGATGCCCACCAGAGTTATGGCAGACATTTAAGTCTTGAGAAATATGATCAACTTGAGCTCGAAGTAGGGTTCAAATCTCCTCCATGTCAGTATTACACTGAAGTCGCATTTGCATAAGGCGTTCTTCAAAAATACGTTTAAGTTCATCCAGAGTGCACGGCGGGGAAGTCATGGCCAAGGTCACAGGACTGATACCAATTGATACCTGTCTTTGGATATTAGAGAAATGAATCCGTTAATATCCCGATTCTAACCAGGAGTAGCAAGGTATATAACTCTACTCGATGATTAAGAGTCAACTGAAAAGGAATATTGGATAAGAAAGATAATTTGTTGGTAATATTTGTTATCATTCATGATATTTACAACAATATATAAATACAAGCTGGATACCAGTCATCTAATCATTGCAAGGAATTCTAACAACTTTGACACCTCTTCATTTATCTAAAACAATTCCCTAAATGAAAAAATAAGAAAAAGACAAAAGTTTATTTGTTGACAATAGAAAAATATCATATTACATGTGATTAAAAAAGTTAGATAGTTACCGATAGTTAGTTAGTCTAGTGATGATTGACACTTGACTTAGTAGGAAGGACCACGATTTGATACCCACAACTACGATCGAAAGGGAACTGAAATCACTTGATGCCAAAATTAACTCTTAAACCAGACTATACCGACGATGAAAAATAAAAAAAATTAAATAATTAGGCTCTGCAAACTTACTAAAATTAAAGCAAATCTCAAAGACTCAAAAACACTTGAGAGATTCTCACACCAGTAGTGAGAGATACCTCAATAACATTTTAACCTCTTAAAAAAACTATTAATTTATTAATTAAAAAATGTTTTTTTTTTATTGGAAACCCTTTAATTTGCAAACCTAAAAGGAAAGAAAAAAGAACCTTTAATTTGTGACCAATTTGGTCATTTCGCAAAGTTGAAACTTTTGAAACCCTCGTTATATTCGACCAAGCAGCAGCATTATTTAGTTCAAGAGTTGTTTCTGTTCACACCCTCACTTCAACAACAATGGCTCAGTTGAAAGCATTTCCTTCACATCCATGCGCCACTACCACTCCTTCCCTTCATGCAACCGGTTCTACTTTCTCTCCGTTTCACTCTCTCTCATAAATGTTATGTTGGTTATTTTGTTTATCAATCATGATAACAGTTTCAAAACCCTGTCTTTTGAATCCTATTAAACAATTCACCACGACCCTTTATTGATTTTTCATTCAAATTTCAATTTCTCATTCTCTTTTTGGTTGACTCGTTTTTTATTTGCAGAGCACATTCTGTTTAATAGGTTTTGGAAGGCAAACCCATGTTCATTTAAAGAGGTGATCTTTAAAAATTCAAACTTTGAGACCCTTTTTTGTTTTTAATCTTATTTTGGACTTTTCTAATATGTGTAGTTGAAGCCAAGAGCTACTGTTGGTGCTGGTAGACTTCAAGGTGAGATTATTTTGGATCAAGATCTGTTGAAAATGTGGTTGGCATTGCCTTTATTTACTTAATTTATAAACAATGGTGAATCCATGATTTTAAATTGTGGCCGCGGGTCTGGTTTTCTATGAAGACAGAATTAGTCATTTGCATGTAGATATTAACTTGCTGTGTGTCTCTGATTTGTAGTCTTTATCGGTTCAAATTGAATTGAGTTGTCTGTTTTCACTTGGATTTTGAAAATGATAATTTTTGTAACAAAATTACGTGGTATCAGCAATAAACAAATAATTTGCTGGAAGGGTAATTTAGGGGTTCTTAGGTTAACTTGGTTTACATTGAAAGTGAATGAATTCTGTTGAGGAACTGTGTGTTCACTTGTTCATTATGTTGATTAGATGATGTTTGATATTTAAGTTTAATGTTTATAATGCTATTGAAGTTTTTGTAATGCGCAGTTGTAAATGCAGTATCACACAATGATTCTGCTGTGGGAGTTTCTGAAACCAAGAAGGGTAGTGGGCTGCGTGGAAAATTAAACAAGGTTGTTCTGGCTTACAGTGGTGGCTTAGACACATCGGTCATTGTCCCATGGTTGAGGTATAGATGTTTCCTTGTTCTTTTTCTACTAGGTTTCTGTCACAAGTTCACAACTCTTGTAATTTAGAGACGTAGTTTAGTATTTTGAGCGGAATGGGTAAATGAAGATCATTAACCATTTTTAAGTTGTCTATTGCTGTATAATTTTGTTCTTGTTGTATTATCTTATTTAGTGATCTTGATGTTGCAGGGAGAATTATGGTTGTGATGTTGTTTGCTTCACTGCCGATGTTGGCCAAGTACGCTATGACTTTTAGAATTAATTTTTTTTTGTAATAAAGATTATTGTTGTCTAAGTTGTTTGTTGGATGATGTGTTTTAAGATTGTAAACATCCGACTAAGAGAGTTTGTTGCTGATGTACTGTGTGTCGGTTAACAAAATTAATTTCACAGGGTATAAAAGAATTGGACGGTTTAGAAGCCAAAGCCAAAGCCAGCGGAGCCTCTCAATTAGTTGTAAAGGATTTGCAAGAGGAATTTGTTAAAGATTACGTATTTCCTTGCCTGCGTGCTGGTGCCATTTATGAGAGGAAGTATTTGCTTGGGACCTCAATGGCCCGTCCTGTAATTGCAAAGGTACTTTTGCTTGAAGTTTGATATTTCATTTCAATTGTTAAAACCTTTTCGCTTGTAAATATCAAATATGTTGCAGCCACACTTCATATTAAAGGTGTGTCTGGTGTCTGACTTGTGTCAATGTCGGACTTTGCATTCTTCAAATAACTGTATGTGTTGTGTCATTGCTTATTGATTGATGCGTGCTGACTTGTAGGCCATGGTGGATGTTGCCAAAGAAGTTGGAGCTGATGCTGTCGCCCATGGGTGTACAGGGAAAGGAAATGATCAGGCATGTCTTACTATTATAACTACAATACTATATCATGCAAATTATATTTTTTAATCTTACATTTTTTTAATAAACATTTAGGTTCGATTTGAGCTCACTTTCTTTGCGCTGAACCCCAAGCTAAACATTGTGGCTCCATGGAGGGAGTGGGATATTACAGGGAGAGAAGATGCCATTGAGTATGCGAAAAAGCATAATGTTCCTGTTCCAGTGACAAAGAAATCCATATATAGCAGGGATAGGAACCTATGGCATCTTAGCCACGAGGTATGCATTGCTTATCTTTAGTTTGATCTAGGATTATGCATTATGAAGTGTAGCTCCCAAAACTATACTTTGGGAGTAACACGTTGCTGTTTCTCTAATGTATGCGTTCTGTGACTTAAAGGGTGATATTTTGGAAGACACGGCTAATGAGCCCCAAAAGGATATGTACATGATATCTGTAGACCCAGAAGATGCTCCAGATCAACCCGAGTAAGCTTTCTTGTAGTTTTACTAATTCACTCTATATACAGCTTCGAGTTTCTGATATGCCTTCTAGAAAGTTTCACCCTGGAATTATTTTCGGAAGTTGAACCTTACATTTTCGAAATCATGCATTATGTCTTGCAGGTATTTGGAAATTGGTATAGAGTCAGGACTTCCTGTTTCACTCAATGGGAAGACGCTTTCACCAGCATCTTTACTCACTGAGCTCAATGAGATAGGTGGAAAGCATGGAATTGGCCGCATCGACATGGTTGAGAATCGGCTTGTAGGCATGAAGAGCCGCGGAGTCTATGAAACTCCTGGCGGAACTATCCTTTTCGCTGCAGCACGGGAGTTGGAGTTTTTGACACTTGACCGAGAAACAATACAGGTCAAAGATTCATTAGCCCTTAAATACGCAGAGTTGGTGTATGCTGGAAGATGGTTTGATCCACTCCGCGAGTCCATGGACGCCTTTATGCAGAAGATTACAGAGACCACAACAGGTTCCGTGACTTTGAAATTGTACAAAGGGTCTGTTACTGTAACAGGTAGGAAGAGTCCCTTCAGCCTGTACAGGCAAGATATCTCATCATTCGAGGGTAGCGATATATATGATCAAGCTGATGCTGCTGGTTTTATCCGGCTTTACGGTCTTCCTATAAGAGTCAGGGCTATGCTTCAGCAGGGCATTTAGTTTAAGTGTTGATTTCATTTCAAAACATGTATTTGTTTGCAATAAGACAGCATGCTTTGTTTCGTTAGATCACTTCATTGTCTTTTCGCTTGTTATTTCAGTTTTGGTTATTTAGGATTTGGGTTGTAACCAGAGAGTAGTTTCAACTGTTAATGGATCCTCCATTCTAATAAAATGGTTACAAATGTTAATCGAATGTTATAAGTTAAATAAATGTTGTAACATTCAATAATTATTGTTTAGCATTTTATAATGTTCTTAATCTCATAACTCTGGATGAAATTTACAATTCTACAAAAGATAATCCTATATTGTCATAGACAAACAAATTCAATTGAAGGTGGTATTCTGTCCTTCAGTCGCGAAGCACACATTCTGTTTTCTTCACAATTCCATGTTTCAAAGTGCTCCTCCCCAAGGGGCCTCACTTTTGGTTTGGTTGGTAACCTTGTATCAATAGTTATTTTCTTGAGTTCAACTGCATTTTCAAGAATGTGCAGAACTAATTCAACTTCACCAGAAAATCCAACCAATTCCAACTCCTTAATACTATATTGACATTCCTTTGGAAATTTGTGTTCTGCTCTTAAACTAGGTTTGGTATTTAGCATCTGCAACATGTAAAAACAAAAAAAAGATCAGTTTCAATTTTACAGCTATCCTAATTTTTGGGCATAAATAATGCTTGATGCACAAAGTGTGGTGCTAGAAGTTAGCAGAGAATGCTTATGCAGAAAGCTAGACGCGTAGGGATATTAACCTTGATTGTGAGCCTAGACAGTGAAGGTGATGTTTTCAATAACATAACACAAGCACTAAGTATTATGCCATCATCACCACAAGCCACCAACTCCAAATCCTTGAGATTATTCAACATGGGAAGTTGACTTAACCAACAAATCTGAAAATTAGAAAGTAAAACTATCACTCACACCGACATGACCACTAACACACATTTTTCAGAGGTATCAGTGCTACAGAGGATATCAGTCTCGATAATAAGCAAACGATATCAGTCTCGATAATAAGCAAACAAGTATGAGAAAAGAAGGGTATGTAGGAAATTTACCACTTGAGGTGAGTTTTGTGTAATATCCAATTTAAGCACTTTTATTTGTAACATAAAGCTTTCTCTAACAAACTCCACAAAGGATCCTCCAAAAGATGCTTCCACAAGGCTTGAAACACTCTTGAATTCTGTCTCCAAATTAGGCCCATAGTATTTGAATGAAACTAATTTCTCAGCAAGTATTTCAACTTTTGTCAATTCCCTACATCTTACCAAATCTAAACATTTCAACTTTAATAATGAACCTGAAACTGAAACCTTCATAGTTTTTGGAACTTCTGAATCAACCAAACTCAATGTTTCAAGTAACACACAATTACAGAGTAAGTACTCTAGCATCTCTTCGGTGACACTAATCGATTTCATACGCAAAACACACAAGGAATCAAATCTTTCCACCTTAAATAGTTCCAATGGAAGAACATAATCGATTGCACGACCGAAATACAGTTCAAGCATTCGAACCTTTCTACGAACTGCAAACCGAATCCAGTTATCAACATCAGAAACATTTTTCATAGGAAACCAAAGCTTCAATCCTCGTAGAGACGAACTTCTAAGCGAAACTAACAACTCATTGATCCAATTTGTATATGTTTGTCTTTCAGCATCATACATGATTTCCATTGCCATTTGCAAACTTCTTCCTGTAATCTTCTTCATATCTTTCTTCATGTCTTTCATAATCGGTGAACCCTTGAATTCTAATGCTCCTGAAAAATAAGTCCATAGATTTTTCCATTTTCTTGAGAGGATGCTTGTTCTAACAGCTTCATGGATTTGTAGTTTTGATAGAATGTTTATAGGGATTCCTTCTGGTAATTGGTTTATGACATCTTCTTCATTGGATTTTGGTCTCTTTTGTTTATCATCTGTTCTAGTTCCATCTTCCATGATCCTAAATTTCATCAAAATTTATGAACATCAAGATAAAGAATAAGAATAATAATGAAAAACATGCCAAGAAAACAATAAATGAGTATTTGTTTACCTCTTTTTGTGATTTGTGATTGGTTTTTCATGTGAAAATGTAGAAGTTTTTGTAATTGTTGTGTGATCTATAAAGAAGAAGTTTGTATTATGTCAAGATCCGGAGTATGCTTTGTTGGTGATAACGTCAAATTCAAGTTACTTTGTTTTTAACTATTTTCTTTTTGAGGGGTTCATTTAATATATACTTGGTTTTGTTTGGTTGCTTAGGAAATTAGGGAAATAATCTAAAAAAAGTTGTTGACATAATCACCATTAACATGGAAGAAATCAAGTTGTTGACAAACAAACTATCATAATCTTAAATTAAAATGAAGCATTGGAAGCTACATTAAAGACAATTTTCTATTGAGATATAAGGAAAACAAACAAGATTTTCCATAGAGAATTTCTTTCTAGTTCCATCAAAAGTCATATAAAAATAAACGACTTAATTGCAACTTTGATACTCCTATTTAATATTTTACGGATTTTTATCCCTCTATTTTTAAATTCACTATTTTAGTCCTTTTTTTAATTTTTAACATGAGTTTCGGTCCCTCTTTAAATTTGGGTGCGTTTTTGTATGACATGACATTATTTTTAATGATGTGTCAGTTCCATGTCATACAAATTAATATAATTAAGTTTTTTTTTTAATTTAATAATTATTTTAATGTTTAATTTATGCAAATAAGCCAATATTATATTAATCACCCCACATCTATCCTCATAAACCCTAATCACCCCACATCCATTCTGCAAAGCAGAGCCTCCTTCTTCTTCCCATCGTATTCTTCTGTTGTCCCGTAAATCCTTCATCCACTGTTTCTTCCCATCGTCATCTTCTTCAGTCTCCAAACAACCTAGTACTTGTAACTCATTCGACATGTCCGAAACAAAATTTTTATTTGCCTCAACAATTCAGTCCGGTGCAAGAAGAAGAGGGAATAGATGTTGGTGTGGGCTTGAGTCTCCATTGATGACGTCATGGACCTACGAGAATCCAAGAAGAAAATTTCATGGTTGTGGTAACTTCAAGGTGTTACAGAAAAAAGGTTGTAGTTACTTTCAATGGTTTGATGAAGACATGAGCAACAAAGCAAAAGATCTGATTAGAACTTTGAAGGACAAGAATGACGAGATTGTTGCTTTACTTAGGGACACCAAGAATAGTTAAGATTTGCTTAAGATGAAGATTAAGTTGATGTCTTATTTTGTTGGTTTATGTATGGTGTTTGTGTTGTTAATTGTGTTTGCATTGTTCTAACACATGCACTCAAATGAAGTTGGTTGTAGGGTATTAACTGAAATTAGATCTGATGTAATTTCTTTTCTTGTACTTGAATCGTTAGTTTTAATGGAATGAAAATTGACATAAGTTTGCTCTAAGTCTATGTGCTTTAATCGTTACTTATATGCAATCGTGTCTATTTGCAATTGTGTCTATCGCCATAAGTTTGTCCATAATTTTCTCATAATTTTCCCACAATTGTGTTTATATGCAAGTTTGCCCATAATTTTCCAATGGTGTGTAATAAAAATCATGCCCAAATCGTTACTTTATCTGCAATTTGTTATAATTTGGCCATAAATAAAAGTTTAAACTATTTCACAAACATGTAATAACTTGTAACCATAATTTTCATAATATAACAATTGGGTTGCATAACAGACTACCAGGACAACAACTTAAACATGACCCTAAATGTTTTGGTCATTACAAAAGAGATAACAAACAACATAAAATAAACTGCAAAATAGAAGAGTGACTATTCTTGGGTTGCATAACATACTACCAGGACAACAACTTAAACATGACCCTAAATGTTTTGGTCATTACAAAAGAGATAACAAACAACATAAAATAAACTACAACATAACAGAGTGACTATTCTTGGATTGATGGCGGTGCTTGTGATCCACCTGCAATTATCGTTTGTCCAACAACTTTGTCAACCTTTTTTTCCGCCTTTTTATTGCCACCTTTAGAAATTGCTCTCTCTGCTTCTCTCTTCCCTTTACACATTCGCTTGTTATGACTAAAGCTACCACATTTCTTGCACTTGACAGTTTGAAGACTTCTAGACAGTGTATTTCTTGTTCTTGGTTCATCATTTGCCTTGTTGCGATTCTTCTTTGGACGACCGATAGACCTCCTCATGACTGGAGGGTTGATTCAGTTAGTAACATTGATCGGGACTTTATGAGTCTATCGGGATACTAACTGCAAGTATACAGTTTAGTCGTTCTAGTTTTAAATGATTATCGAACCCACAGAGACTGAGGATCAATCGCATACGATCTAATGTTACAAATGTTTAACTAAGCGATGAATATTTGGTTTTAGGGGAAAAAGGTTTTAATTAAAAGCAATAGTAATAGTTATACCGATATGTGATAGTCGGACTTCGGGAACTCGGTGAATCACTTGGCATATAAAGTATTTCGGTAAAAAACGAATTGTTTAAAAACCTGAGACATACATTCTCGTGTTCATGAAATAAGTTATGCTACTAAACCTAGTGGATGCACTTTAAATTTAATAACACTTTTTGAAAACAACTCGAGTTTAATTAATTTGTTAAAATACTCTCGTGTATTTAAAAATTAATGTTTCGTTACCACTATCTGGGTCGAACCCCAGCTCTCGCATGCAGGTTCTTGCCTTAATTAATTTCTCACTCTCGTGGAAAAATCGTGTTAAATATCCTTTCACTCTCGTGACAAGGGTAGTTAAATTAAATATGGAAATTGGAAACTAGAAATTATTTATAAAAGATTTTAGCCAAGTTATCACCGAATTCCTTCGGTGCTTAAGAGTCACATACCGGTACAAACAAAATTAGCCAGACATAATGTGTTTAGCAAACATGCAACGTAAAATACAGTTCATGAAAATAATCAACATAGCATATAAACAACAAAGATCGAATTGCATAAAAAACCTGTAATTTATATT